TGATCTAGGCAAAATGCTTTGCGGTTGCACTGCCTGTCGAACGTTCGGGGGTGACGATGTTTGCGCGTTATTTTCACCTTGTTGTGCCATTTTGATCACGTCGGGGTCACCAGTTTTAATGGTTGCGTTGATAATGTTTGAAGCGGGTGATCCTGCTGGCACGTCTTGTCAGTTTGGCGTCCGTGAGAAGAAGGGAAGAATTGCAGGATGAAGGAGAATGCGGTTGCTTATGACTTTAATATAAAATTGTAGTAATGGGTTGCCGGTCGGTAGTCTTGTGCGTTTTGACGGTCGGCAACATAGTACAACATAGTTGTAGCCTGTCGGTAATGTATGCATGTACATATATGTATATGTACACATGCCAATATAACTAAAAAGTATACGGTCAAAACGGATTAGCATAACCAAACATATGAAAATTAAAATTAACATACATAGGTATGCACATATATATACATTTGTTGTTAAGAACAATTTTATTTTCGCGTTCCTTTTAAACAAATGTATAAAGATACATATAATAAAAACGAATATACATACATACAAAATATACAAATTATTCGCGAGTGAAACGAATACCCAGTAAGCAATTTCGGCAATTTTTAAGATAATAATAATACGGACATACATTTTAATAAAATCTAAATTGACTTGTCCGATAAAAAACGAAAAAAAAAAATTATAACAGACTAATTTTACAATCAGTTTCAACAAAAAAAAAATTTTTTAACTACAGCTTTGGGCAGCAAACTAAACTTTTTTACTACAACCGTATTATAGCAAATATTTAATACAAAACTATTTTAATAGCTAGCTAATAGCTTTCAATTTAATTCAGAGAGTTAAAAATGCAATCTGATAAATCAAAAGAGGTTAAACCACGAACACCTCTATCATTAGAAATTCCAAAAATGGCTGATGATGATAAAGCACAAGGCACACCCGCAGAAGCTACACGCTCAAAGCTGGGTGCAAAACAAAAAAGAACCAAAGGCAATTCACTGTCAAAGTTCATAACTGAAAGTGACAGTTTTATTAGATACTGCACACGGTTTTCGGCTTCGCCTATTAACGACAATACAGAATCAGTCCTAAATTTAAAAATTCAAAGCATAGATAATATATGGGCACGCGTTCTGACAGCGTACGATACAATATTAGATACTGACGACGCTGATCTCCCAGAAAACATTAAAGCTTCGGAATCAGCCAAATATGAAACTGCCTCGATCAGTACGAAACTACGAAGGCAATGATATTAGACCAAATAAATTTATTAAGGCCATGTAGAGCCACTACTCCTCCTCCGAGAGTAGTTACAAATCCAAAAAAAAACCTAGATACAGGTATATTTTTAAAAGTATCAGCTTGTGATACTGAAGTTTTTCATGGAGGTTATGATCAATGGCCGTCCTTCCGGGACATGTTCACTGCCGTGTATATCAACCATCCTAAACTTTTACGAGCACAAAAGCTGTACCATCTCAGGTACAAAACAAAAGGGGAAGCAGGCAGTATTGTCAAGCGTTTCGCTTTGAATGACGAAAATTTTAATCTGGCTTGGGATGCACTGGTCGAAAGATACGAAAACGAAAGAGTATTGGTAGATAACCAAATAACTATTTTAATGAATTTACCCAAAATTCAACAAGAAACCAGCCAAGAATTTTAAAAACTATACTCGACAGTGACTAATTGCTTATCTGTGTTAGAAACACAAAATGTATCCACAGAATCGTGGGACCCTATCCTAGTAAATATTTGCGCAGCGACACTACCTGATGCTGCTTTGCTACGATGGGAGCAATCACTAGTGGCAAGAAAGAAATCGCCAAAATGGCATCAAATGAAAGAATTTTTAACAACTCAGTACAAAATAGCTGAGCGAGTAGAAGGTAGTTAAGCCAAAAGGTCATCAAATTAATGCAAAAATCTATAAAGGAGACATAATATAATATAAGATCTTTCGAGAAATTTAAAAATGTCCGTTTCAGATAGAAACAATCTTGTCCGACAACATAAACTTTGCACCAACAGTCTGTCCAATTCTTACGGGACAAAATACTGTGAAAGCAAATTCAGTTGTGTATAAATTAACTCCTTCACAACTCAAGTTGAAAATATTCAAACGAATATTTAATAATCAACTCAAAAATTCTGGGAAGTAGAAGAATTACCCCAAATCACAAAACCTTCAGAAGAAGACCTGGCATGCGAAGCCTAATACCAGTCCACAACAACAAGAAACCATCATGGTCAATTCCTGAGCTTGGAAAAAGCTGATAGAGAAAAGCGAGCTTAAATCAGCATATGATGACGTGATGGATGAATATCTTGACCTCAATCATATGGAAGAAGCTGTACCATATGAAAAATATCTAAAGGTAGATATTTATCTTTTATCTTCCGCATCACGGGGTAATAAGACCAGATAAAATCACAACAAAAGTACGAGTAGTTTTTAATGCTCCAAAGTTTACGAGCTCAGGCAAATCACTCAATGATGTACTATACACAGGGCCAACATTACAACCTGATCTCATGCTGCTAATACTAAATTGGCGCATGTTTAAATATGTTTTCAATGGAGATGTAGAGTAAATGTATAGGCAAATTTTAGTACATAACGATGGCCAAGATTTCCAGCGGATAGTCTTCCGAAAATCAAGTAATAGTCATATCAGCGACTACAAACTTAAAACAGTCACCTTTGGCATCAATTGTGCACCCTATTTAGCCATTAGGACATTACATGAAGTGGCAAAAACCTGTCAAACAAATTTGCCTTTAGCAACTTCTCTGCTACAAAAACGAACATACGTTGATGATATTCTATCAGGTAGCCACAGTCTCTCATTAGCTTGCGAATCACTAACTCAAGTGATCAAAGCACTAAATTCAGCCGGGTTCCCCCTAAAGAAAATTACATCAAATCACCCGGAGATAATAAAACACATAAATGGGGAAGACTTATTAGATACTAACTTCCTTAAATTTGAAAAGGCCAATACTACAAAAACTCTCGGGATTCAATGGAATGCGATAACAGATCATTTCTCATATACAATTGAAACTTTCGACAAGAAGTCTGGCCAAAGTCTCCTGCTCGCAATATAACAGCTCCTGAAATTCGGAGAATTGAAAAATTTCATATCACTCCTGATGAAGATGATATATTACATCGATTTTCATCATTCCCAAAAGCACTAAGAGTAGTCGCTTACATGTTTAAATTTATCCAAAGACTCAAACAAAAGGTTAAAGGAATAACAAACTATCCTTCCATACAACTAACGCATTCCGACCTGCAACATGCCAAGGTCAGCCTTATTACATGTACACAAACTTGCTATTTCATTCGGGAGAAATCAAAGTTAGTCGAAAGACGACCCCTCGATAAGGGAAGCGCACATCTCGTTTTAAATCCTTTTTTGGACACTAAAGGATTAATCCGGGCACATGGAAAACTAGTGCACTCCAGCCTTGGTTATAACGAACGACATCCCATTATAATTCCCGAGAAATCCCGTTTTACTTATTTATTTCAGCTTTGCCACCTGAACGCTGCAATTTTGCTCTTCCCTTTACCATTACTGGGGTCGATTTTGCTGGACCTTTCCAGATAAAGGCCTCTATGTTAAGGTCTTCCTCATTCAGAAAAGGGTATGTGGCTGTCTTTGTATGTTTCACGACAAAGGCAGTACACTTCGAGCTATGTTCGGATCTGTCTACTGCGGCTTTTCTCGCAGCATTTGCACGCTTTGTCGGACGACGTGGATTTCCATCAAAAATTATGAGCGACAATGGGAAAAACTTTATCGGAGCTCAAAGAGCCACAGAGAAAGAGTTTACCGAAAAAGGCTCCCCAGAAATTGTTAAAAAATATGCACCACAAGGAATCGATTGGCAGTTTATACCCCCTTGTTCTCCCCACATGAGCGGACTCTGGGAATCAGCTGTAAAAAGCTTTAAGTCCCATTTAAAGAAAACGGCAGGTAATCATAAATTCAATTATGAGGAATTTACCACACTACTCGCTTGTATAGAAGCCGTACTAAATTCAAGACCCATCTCACCACTCTCGCAAGATCCCTCTGATTTCACAGCTCTTACACCTGGACATCTCCTCAGAGGAGCTCCACTTCTCGCCATACCTGAGGCAGTAGGAGACTCACTCAACTTAATAGACCGATGGGAAAAAATTAAGATACTTCATCATGAATTCAGCCATAGATGGAAGGAAGATTACCTTAAAGATCTCCATAAGAGCCATCGGTGGAAAACGATCCAGAAGGAACCAAATACGGGCGAATGCGTCATCATCAATGACGAATGCCTTCCTCCAACAGAATGACGACTAGGCCGCATTGAAAAGGTCCATCGGGGGCGAGATGGTCACATAAGAATAGTAGACGTACGAACACAAACTGGTATACTAACTCGACCATTAGTAAAATTGTGTTTTCTTCCGAATACCGAAGAACCGATTACACAAACCCCGCCAAGACAAGCGCATAAATAAAATCAAACCCGACAATTAATTCGTTTAACTCGAAATTCTATCGTTTTATAATCCGTACATGTAAATCTAACACCAACAAACGCGATTAAAAATTAACCACAACATATATAGTTACATATACATATGTATATATATACATATATATATATCTATTTTTCAAACCAAGCAACAAATATCATAATTCAAAATTATGAGCCAAACCATATTTTAATATATTCCTATTCCAATAGAAATGGACGTAGAAGATATCCACAGCGCTCCCAAGACTGTGAGGTCCGTAATTGCTGCGCCTAGAGCATCAGGTCCACCCATCGCAGCACCAAGGATGCAAAGCGCCACGGCTTCGGTGGGTGATATGGTGTGTTGTAGGTGGTGTATGATGTTGCATTGTATTATGTTGTGTTGTATGATGTTGTGCGGTGGTTGTGAGCTTAGTTGTAAAAATGTCGCGGGATTAGAAGTCGCATGAACATCCCGGCCCCCCTAGGCGAATTAATTGCCTAGAAGTCTTTGCAACTGTTGCAGAGTGCTCACTACGGCGTTCAATCCGGTTGATCTTTGCCGCTGGTTACGATGACCATAGGGTGGTGGAGGTGGCCGTGAGCGTGCCCCTCTGGATGGCTTCGGGGATGTACTCTTTGGCGCTGGACGGGATTCCCTTGTTGTCTGTGCCGGTGACTGGTCTGTGGTGTGGACGGATTTGCTCGTCGAGGGAATCGATGAAACAAAGTATGATGCGGTCGTTGGCAATATTGACACGATCCGTCGGTCATACAGTCAAAGGTGGAGTGACTATCTGCCAAGCAAGTCATACAGGATCCGTGGGCTCTGGCGATCTGTTGGCGTTGAGCGGACTTCGTGCTCTTGAAGATAGTGCACCTCTTCAGGACGTGAGGTTGACGACATAGACTGCATCGTGGAGGCAGATGCTCATCAAACTGCTTCTCGTTTGCATCTCTGACTGCTGCTGCAGATGATTGGCTGTGCGAAGCCATGGCGCTTTGCATCCTTGGTGCTGCGATGGGTGGACCAGATGCTCTAGGCGCAGCAATTACGGACCTCACAGTCTTGGGAGCGCTGTGGATATCTTCTACGTCCATTTCTATTGGAATAGGAAGATATTAAAATATGGTTTGGCTCATATTTTGAATTAAGATATTTGTTGCTTGGTTTGAAAAATAGATATATATATATATATACATATGCATATGTAACTATATATGTTGTGGTTAATTTTTAATCGCGTTAATTAGTGTTAGATTTACATGTACGGATTATAAAACGGTAGTATTTCGAGTTAAACGAATTAATTGTCGGTTTTGATTTTATTTATGCGCTTGTCTTGGCGGGATTTGTGTAATCGGTTCTTCCGTGTTCGGAAGAAAACACAATTTTACTAATGGTCGAATGTACACCAGTTTGTGTTCGTACGTCTACTATTCTTATGTGACCATCTCGTCCCCGATGGACCTTTTCAATGGAATGCAGGTCGGAATGCGTTAGTTGTATGGAAGGATCATTTGTTATTCCTTTAACTTTTTGTTTGAGTCTTTGGATAAATTTAAACATGTAAGCGACTACTCTTAGTGCTTTTGGGAATGATGAAAATCGATGTAATATATCATCTTCATCAGGAGTGTTATGAAAGGTTTCAATTCTCCGAATTTCAGGAGCTATTATATTGCGAGCGGGAGACTTTGGCCAGAATTCTTGTGATTCTGTTAACCACGTAGGACCGTTCCACCAGAGTGTAGTGCTGGTGATATGAAGTGGTTTGCAGCCTCTTGTCCCAAGATCCGCTGGATTATCTGCACTTGCAACATGTTGCCATTGTGCTGAGCCAACTAAGTCTAGTATTTGAGATAAACGGTTAGAGACATAAGTCTTCCAGGTATATGGTGGTTTTTCTAGCCATGCTAAAACTATTTCTGAATCTGACCAAAGGTACATTTTGTGATTGGTTAATTTCAGATAGGTTTGGACAATTAAGACTAGTTTTGCTAACAGAAGTGCACCATTCAGTTCGAGCGGTGGCAGGCTTAGTGTCTTCAGGGGAGCAACTTTGGCTTCGGCTACCAAAAGACGTGAAGATATTTTGTTATCATATTCAGTGCGTACGTAAACTGTTGCACAATAGGCCTTTTCAGAGGCATCACAGAAGCCATGTAATTCTACATTATAGTCAGGTGCGAAATTTACCCATCGAGGAATTCGAATTTCCGAGATGGTATGTAGATTGTTTGCAAATTGAACCCACTTTGTTAAACGTATGGGTTTTACTTGCTCATACCCTTCAGTGCGTCTTGCCACAGTTCTTGAATGAGGATTTTGCTTGAATCATTATTGGCGAAAGCCATCCTGCGGGGTCGAAAAGTTTTGCCACCAAGGAAAGTATTTGACGTTTGGTTATGGGATATTGCAGATATTGACCAATTGTAATATGAGAATTGATCTGTTACGCTTCCATTGAACCCGGAGTTTTTGTACAACTGGCCATTTCAAATTTAAGGAGTATAGTATCTAATAAGTCTTCCCCTTTTATGTGTTTTATTATCTCCGGGTGATTTGATGTAATTTTCTTTAGGGGAGCCCGGCTGAATTATGCTTTGATCACTTGAGTTAGTGATTCGCAAGCTAATGCGAGACTGGCTACCTGATAGAATATCATCAACGTATGTTGTCTTTGTAGCACAGAAGTTGCTAAAGAGCAAATTTGTTTGACAGGTTTTTGCCACTTCATGTAATGTCCTAATGGCTAAATAGGGTGCACAATGATGCCAAAGGTGACGTGTTTAAGTTGTATTCGCTGATATGACTATTACTTGATTTCGGAAGCTATCCGCTGGAACATCTTTAGCCATCGTTATGTACTAAAATTTGCCTATACATTTACTCTACATCTCCAGAAAACATATTAACCATGCGCCCAATTTAGTATTAGCAGCATGAGATCAGGTTGTAATGTTGGCCCTGTGTATAGTTAACATCATTGAGTGGTTTGCTTGAGCTCGACACTTTGAAGCAATTAAAAAACTCGTACTTTGTTGGTGATTTATCTGGTCTTATTACCCCGTGATGCAGAAGATAAAAAATAAAATTCTACCTTATATATTTTTTCATATGACAGCTTCTTCCATATGATTGAGGTCAAGATTCATCCATCACGTCATCATATGCGATTAAGCTCGCTTTTCTTTATCAAGCTTTTTTCCAGACTTAGGAATTGCTGGACTGCTGATATTCCGAGTGGCCTAGGATGCAGTTTCTAGAAGGTGGGCTTGAATGGGAGTCGCACAAACATAAACGACCATGTTCGTTATTGTTTGTGGACTGGTAATAGCTTCCGCATGCCAGGTCTTCTTCTGAAGTTGAATTTGGGGTGTTCTCTACTTCCCAGAATTTTGAGTTGATTATTTAAATATTCGTTTGAAAATGGTTCAACTTGAGTTGTGAAGGAGTTAATTTTTTCTGTGACTTGGCCACTTAATATCCATCCAAAGATTGTGTTTTGGGCTAAACAATTTATTAGATATTCTCTATACCTTCAAGAATTGTTTGAGGTATTAAGTCGCTGCCCAATAATATTTCGATTTGTGATGGTATTCAGTTGGGATCTGCTAATTTGGATATGAGCATTTTTCCACTAGTTTTTATTTACTCTCATAGCTTGAAAGCAAATATGAGCTGCGGTAGAGAACAATGGCTTGTGCATCTATTCGTATATCCGCGTTTGAGAGACTATGCGTGATTGAGGCCAAACTTATTTGAATTTGTATAATTCTTCCGCCCATTCCCGAAATTTGAAAATTAGAATTTTGAACTGGCAATTTATAGCCGATTCTGAGCTTTGTTGATATAAAGGATCTTTGAGAGCCTTGATCTTAATGCTCTTAATTTTGAATAATATCCTTTATGTTCTATAGCAATGACCGCTGTGGGTAAAAGAATTTGCTTTCATTCTCTGAATGAAGCGCTTGAACTTTGTTGCTTTGGAGCAACATGGTGTTCCTCTTTATCGGGATTCGGGATTTCGGGATTACCTGATTTGGTTGTCGCGACTAGGCCCGTGGTTTTATGTATAATTTTGCTTCTTATTGTAAAATTGTTATGTGAAACAATGGTGATGTCGTCGTTGACAGTACACACAACTGAATTGGCTTTCACAGTCTTTTGTCCCGTGAGAATTGGACAGACAGTTGATGCAAAGTTTATGTTGTCGGACAAGATTATTTCTATCGAAACGGACATTTTTTAAATTTCTCGCAAGATCTTATATTATGTCCTCCTTTACAGATTTCACATAATGATTGCCAATGGTTTTTTGATTTGACACGAATGTTTGGTTTCTATTAACGTGTCTATTATATTGTGTGTTATTAACGACTTGGGGTTTAAAAAAGTTTTATTTGAGTCGTTTTGATGACCTTTGGCTTAACTACCTTTTATCTACTCCGCTCAGCTATTTCGTACTGAGTGTTAAAAACTCATTTGATGCCATTTGGCGATTTTTTCACTTGCACTAGTTGATTGCTCCCATCGAGCAAAGCAGCATCAGGTAGTGTCGCTGCGCAAATATTTACTAGATAGGGCCCACATTCTGTGGATAATATTTGTGTTTCTAACACAGATAAGCAATTAGTCACTGTCGAGTATAGTTTAAAATTCTTGGCTGGTTCTTGTTGAATTTTGGGTAAAATCATTAAAATAGTTATTCTGGGTACCTACCAAACTCTCGTTTTTCGTATCTTCGACCATGCATCCCAAGCCAGATTAAAATTCGTCCATTCAAAGCGAAACGCTTGACAATACTGCATGCTTCCCCTTTGTTTTGTACCTGAGATGGTAGCAGCTCTTGTGCTCGTAAAAGTTAGGGATTGGTTGATATAGCACGCAGTGAACATGTCCCGGAGGACGGCCATTGATCATAACCCCATAAAACTTCAGTAAATCACAACTGAATACTTTTAAAAATATACCTATCTAAGGTTATTTTTGGAGTAACTACACTTCTGGAGAGGGAGTAGTGGCTCTACATGGCCTTAAATAAATTTATTTTGGTCTAATACCATTGCGCGTAGTTCGAACTGATCGAGCGAGGTTTCCATATTTGCTGCACTCCGAAGCTTAATGTTCGGAGACAGCGTCGTCATATAAATTATATCGTACGCTGTCAGAAACCCGTGCCCATAAAGTACAGCTGAATTTTTAAAATTAGGAGATTGCCGTATTGTGTTAATAGGCGAAGCCGAAATCCGTGTGCAGTACATAATAAAACTGTCACTTTCAGTTAGAACTTGACAGTGAATTTGCCTTTGAGTTTTTTTTGTTTTGCACATGCTTTGACAGTGTAGCTATTCGCGGAGTGGCTTGTGGCTCTATAATCATCATCAGCCTTTTTGGTATTTTAAATAGAGAGATGTTTCGTGGTTAACTCTTTGATTTATCAGATTGCATTTTAACTCTCTGAATTAAATTGAAAGCTAGTATGCTACTATTAAAAGTTTGTATTAAATATTGCTATATACGGTGTGTAGTAAAAAGTTTAGTTGCGCCAAAGCTAGTAGTAAAAAAATTTTTTTTTGTTGAATGATTGAATAAATAGTCTGCTTATAGATTTTGTTTTATTCTTTTGTTATTCGAGACAGAAGTCAATTTTAGCTTTTATTAAAATGGTTAATGCTCTATAATTTATTCTGTAACAATTGCCGAAATTGCTTACTGGGTAATTCGTTTCACTCGCGAATAATTGTTATACTTTTGTATGGTATGTATATTCGTTTTTATATGTACAGTATACAGTTTGTTTAAAAAGAACGCGATAATAAAGTTCTTAACAACAATGTAAAATGTGCAATACTATGTGAAATTTAATTTTCATATGTGGTTATGCTAATCCGTTTTGACCGTATACTTTTTAGTTAATTGGCAGTGTACAACATATACAGTATATGTACATGCATACATTAAGCGCGTTTTTTGTAAAGTATTTATATGTATTAGTTTAATATATTAAATTTTTATGTATATTTCTAAGAGAAATATAAAAAAGTAAAAGCAGTAAAGAAAGAATAATTGTGTAATCTACTAATGCCGATAAATG